TGGACTTGGCAGCGCTGGCTCTCTTGAGGCCTGGGTTTCACCAGCAGATGTTTTCTATAATTTTTTATATATATATATATATATATAAGCTATTGATGCTGTGCAGAGCACTTTCAGAAGAAATCAACGCACCCAGTAACTCTCTTGATTGGAGCAATACCAAGTACAATGTTCCTGATAGCAGATCTGCAGCCTGGATAAGCACATGTGGTGGTGACGTTTAGATTGCGTTGCACTTGGGTGTAAAATTAAACACTGGCCCAAGTCTGAAACAACACAAAATATAAGGCTATGAATCACAGGGACTGTATCTTAAAACCTGTGTGTTTATTGAACACTTCCTTAAATGAAATTACTTTTTTACATGTCTTACTAGAGAAAACAACTTTATATGCCTTGAAAATCTATATCTAATGCTGTTACAACTTTCTGTTGTGTGTTGTAATTCAACTAATTAATCCTTTCGGGGGTCACATAAGTACCCAATGGATATTTTTCCGTGAAACTATTAGGGTTCAAGAAAATGGCAATAATCTGAATATTCTGAAATTTGACGTAACTCTTTGGACAACTTTTCAACCTCCTTTTTGGGGACCGATTCCATGTGCCCATGCGCATGCAGACGATACATTAGTGAAGGGTATTTTCTGATTGTAGGCAAGAGGATTTGAAAGAGAAAGTTGAGCTCAAAAAAGGAGTATCCGCTTCTCATCCTTCACAACATCCAAAATGTTTTTAAGTAACTATATTTGCCATTTAATGAAAGTATCCTAATGAATGTATAGACTTGTCACATGTTTGATAATTCAAGCATGATTGCCTTAATCATGATGTAGAAAATCATTAAAATAATATATAAAGGAGTAACAGAGAATGAGCGTGTTGTGTATTTCTGAATTAATATTTGCAAAATAGGACTACCTGTGAGAAATAGAAACGTTGAGTTTTCACATACAACCAAGATAGATATAATTCCAGATTTAGTATTCACTGATGTCAAATCATTTCACAGATTATCTCCAACGGGAGGAGAAGAAATAGCAGACATGGGAGTTTTGTCCCATGTTTTTCCAAAAAGAGCCACAAATGGCGTAACTTCTTTGCCAATAAATTATATGCCACTGTGTTATCTTTTAGTCATCCTGATATCTTACTAGCATTACCATGGGCAAACAAGAAGCTAAGAATCTTATTTTTCATGTAAAATGACATAGGAAAAGTTTTGTTCTTATTAAGGAGTCTTGAAGCTCTATTTATGCAAGAAATTAATGGGAATATAGGGTCATACAGAATTTCCTACTCGTTTTCAGCTTTAAGCATAGAGTTCAAGAGAGTTCAGAATATTACATGTTTGAAAACTATGCTGCACAGCTGATAAAATGTGTCAACATGCTGATGATATTTTATTTTGTTAATGGTAATACTGTGCTCATGCTGTGCTTAAAAATGATAATTGTCTGATTTAACGAAAAATAGATATTTATTATAACACTTTTTTAAAAAGGTGGATTTTGTTACCGCATATAAGAATTTGTAAATGTATTAGCTAAGTATTACTGTTTTATTTAGCAAGGCTGCTTCATAGAATTTTTTAATGTTCATTTTAGGAAGAGTTAAAATAAAGGAGCGAAGGTGTTTTCTTTCACTGAAATTTAGCAGTCCTGTTAAGCATGTACCGGCTTATTTTCTAGGCTCACTTTTATTCCAGCTGTGAGTGGGAAACTTCAGGAAATCATTCCTAAAAAGTACCTTGAGGTGACTAAATTGCTACTCCATTTATATCAAGATGGACAAATTGAAAATCTGCCAACCACAGTCACCAGTGCAAGTCCTGCTGGACTCCCACCCAGACAGATGACACGTTTTGCCTCCTCTGTGATGCAGATATGGGGGATTGATAGTTTCAAAGGTAGGAAGTTCTAGACCAACCTTGTAGATGCTGAAGGCAAGTGGCGTTCCTCCCTCTTTCCTTTGTCTCCCGCTCAGGATAAGAAATGCTGTCACGGGAAACACTGAAATCATTTTAGGGGCTGCTCTTTAAATTGCAATGGCATGAGCATCCGCAGTCAGCAAAGAGTAGGAAACAAGTTTTGTGGTACACGATCTGCTTTGAGGAGGTCTCTTAGCAGTCTGCAAGAACACGGCCAAGTCCCTTTTTATCAGGTGAAGGGCAGTACTAGCAGAGCTTTTCATGTGCTGTGTTCCATGCTAGCAACACTGCCTGTTCAGGAGACTTGTTTGCAAAATATTTAAAGAAAACAGCGTCAGCAAATGACTAACCCTAACTTACAAATAGGACTTAAGCGACTCTCATTAATTGCCTTTTTTGCCTTGTCACCTAATACAGAACAGTATGGGAGAGGGTTATATACTGCTAAGCAAAGGTTTTATTTTATATTATTACAGTGGGAATGTAGCATGTGTTCTGTGTCAATGACATTGCTGTTTTACGGATGGGGATGCTCAGGACCAGAAAGGTTAAAATTGGAGAGTTAGCAATAGCTAGGGTTGAAGAGATGGCTTAAGTGTCAAGACTGTGCCCTATCAGCTGAGAGGAAAGGCAGGGATTATTAGCCTGGTCCTCGAGATGCCTAGCTGCCTATCCTTCATGTGGCACAAATGCTGTATGATTTCAGATAAAGCTTCTGCATCTCAGATCCCCATATGGAAAACTGGAATAATAGTATTTCTTTTACTGCATGATAAAGTAGTTAAGAGCCATAAGATTAGGATAGGATGGACCCATTTAACAGTTCAGTAGCCTGAAATTCTGTGGCACTAAACTCTTCTTAGAAGCTAGATTCAGTTTTATCATCGCAGAAATTAATTATCTCACTTACAGAAGGAATCACTCAGTAAATGTTTTTGTGAGAATAACCCTTCCCACCTTCTAGAGCATCGGAAAAGTATTTACCTGTAGGATATATGCCAAGTACTTGATGTATATAACAAAATGATCGATGTAGTTTGAATAATAGGAATTTGTATTTTAAACAAGTTTTCTCTGAGCTCAGCATTAATAGTTCTTATTTCACTTTATGATCGATCTTTAAGAGAAATTACTGATCGTCAGAATGAGCTGTGTATCCTGAAAGAGGTTATAACTGCCTTGTGAGGCTGGTAACAGCCCTATGATTGAAAATCCTTCAGTTCAAGAACTCCATTTCACAACTTCTGCATCTGTTAAAACCAGAAGTGCTTCTCAGATGCAAAATGACGAATCTTTGTGCACTGCTCACGACTGACATTGCTTTTGTGGCCTTTTACTGTTGAGCTTCTGTGTATTTTGGAGCATACAAACGTATTTCCTTCCTAAGGTTCTGATTTGCATTCACTGAGCCTCTGCAGCGGCTTAAGATGTTTTGCCTGTTCATAGGCAGTTTGAGCTTAAAAATGCTGTGCTGTGAAGTGGCACAACAGCCGCATGACTACGTGTTTTCTGCTTCAGGGCTTGTAACCTCCAGTACAGCGTCAAGGCAGGGGGAAAGGGGTGTTACAGCCCAAACTGTGCCAGCAAGATTCAACAGAGCTCATGTGTCAGAGTTGTTAGTTAAAATTATGTTCGATTCACAGTCAACAATTTCCATCTTTGTTGTTCATTCCCTTTGTTTCTTGCCGGATAGGATTGCTTTCAGGACTGTTAAATCTTTCTGTTTTTATTTTCCCTTTTAAAAAAGGAGGAAAGCCTGTATGCGATGTGTGTAGATTCCAGTATTAAGTTAGTGAGAGAAATTCCTTCAAATTAACAGGAGCCCAAAATTGCAAGATCTCCAGAGTTCCAAGAGCTTTGTTATATTGTTACCAAATGCTAACTGCTTTTTTTAAACAATTCAAATTATTTATTCAGCTAACTTGTTCTAAAATCTCCTGTGTTTTAGAATAATGTGTTTCTAATAACGAGGTCACTCTGGCACAAAAGAAACAGCAGCTTCAGTATTTAACGATTATTTAAAAGCTGATCTGCTTTAAAAGCTGCTTGTTGGTTACTTTTTGTGTTTCTTGTTTGGGTCTTGAATTTTTAAGTTTTCTCCAAATTCCTCTGTTTGAGACTTGGTAATAACAAAAAGAGGAAAGCTGGGGAGTCCTTTTCTGATTTGCATCATTGTGGCTTAATTTTTCTTTGGTTCCACAAACTAAGAGTGGATATGTTTGAGTAGGTTTTAGGATTAATACGGTATGGACATTTTTATTCTGAGAGTAAATATTTGTGCTTCAAGAGTTGTCGTCATCAATGTAGTCTGTATTTTTTCTGCTTCCTCTAGTAGTCTTTCCAACAGGACTTCAAACTATTAGTTGTAAGGCAAGCAATTTAAAAAAAAAAAAAAAGTCAGTTTTCAGGTGCAGGTGGCAAATCTTTTCAAGGTTAGTAGCCTATTTGTAATGGAATATGGAAATACAATGATTCTTAAATAAAAAAATACAGGGATCTTGCGATTTGCCGCTCAAGTCTATTGACCCTGAAATGCAACCATCTTATGGAAACTAGAAGAAAGTTGGTGATAATAAATAACACCTCTTGCTGGTGACAGCACCATAGATGTTCATCATCATAAACACATTGAGAATGAAGAAACATACAAATTAAATACAATTTAGGACAACAGAGTACAAAGTACAGCAGTGATGTTTGAAAAAAATATTTCTGCGTTTTGACATCAGTATCACATATTTATCTGCATTAGGTGTGCTTTTTGGACTATGAAAGTGGAAAGGTCTGTCAAATAGAGCCTGCTTTTTTTGTGAGATCGTCTATAGAAGTCAAGAGTTAAAAGTTAAGCAGTTCAAGATTTTGTATTTTAAACACTGGCCTAAAAACAGGATAAACACCTTCATCAGGTGGTTGTTTTGGCATTTTTTTTGGAAGGTTTGTCTCCACACAAATATATATTCAGAAAATAGATGTGTTGTTTCAGAGTGTTTTATCTTTAAAAATGTATAAATATATGTATTTCTATAATATATATCTATCCTTATTTCTGATTTCTCTTTTGATCTTGCAGTTTATTGTGGAGTGTCATGGAAATACACTTCTTCCCCAGTTTTTGGGCATGTACCGGCTTACTGTTGATGGAGTAGAAGTATATATGATTGTTACAAGAAATGTGTTCAGCCATCGTTTATCTGTTTATAGAAAATATGATTTAAAGGTGAGAAATAATTGCTGATGAAATAACTGACAAAGTAGCTGAAAATCTTTACTATAAACGTTAGATAATCCTGATGCTTGAATATTGCTCAGAATTTTAATGAATTAAAAATTATGTTGTGTAAGAGCCAGCATTAACTGGTTTACTTCTGCATCTAGGTTTAGCAAAACTGATGGATAGTTCTATAGAAGTTGTACAATTTATTTGTATTGTGCGTTTTTAAACAGAGCAATTTAACTTGAGTCTGTTTGTTAAATGTAACTAATCACTAAAGGTAAAATCCTTCACAATAATAATTCTGCTTCCTATAGGTTTTTATCAACATTATGGAAAGCCACAGCTGATTCTGCAAAGGGCTTTTATAAAATAATTAAATATCATCATCAAACCAATGAAGTGCTCCTAACAAAGTACATCACTACTAGAAAAGCTTCAGATTTCATCCTATATTTTAAAAATAATTCAAGAAAAAATGAGAAGGTTCTTAAAAAACAAAGTTCCTGTTGCTTTTATCATAAGGTGTGGTTTTGTTTTGTTTCAGGTTTATCTGCACATTGTAGTTTTGCCAAAAGTTAATATACAGTGCTTACAACAAATGCCCAAAATATAGTCTTAGTTTTTCTACCAAAGGCATTGTATTTTAATTTCCTCCATAATGTCTCCCCTTAGGAACCTACTTCTTTCTAGTACATGATTTCTATGTGTTGAACTACTAAGTACATCTGCAAACTTGTTTTAAGATGCTTATTTAGCATTCTATATTAAGAGGTTTGTAATGCTACGTACTGCACCATCCTTTCCTACTGTCAAGTATATACCTAGTAATTAGTTCGGTAGTTGACTGAACGTGATTTGTAAGAACTGATTTCCAGATTGTCAACAACTGACTTTTTGGTATTTAGTATTATTGGCAGCCGATCTTACCCAAGAAAGATATTTTTTTAATTTGAGAGAACTGTATATGTTTTAGAGCATCATAATGTCCAGATGCATCAAAAAAGGGATGAAAGCATGACAGAAAGAAACAAACATAAATGATATACAGTACGTTCTTAGCATTGGTCTCAACAGCTCTTGCTAGTATTTACCTCTGTGAATGCTTCTGTACTCTGTTCAGTTTGTCCAGCTGGACAGAATTGCTTTGAAGACTAACGTCTCTTGCAATTGAAATTTAACATCAGTATCATATTATTGTTCAAAGCAAGCTCCTTCATTGAGCAGATTTGTAATGCCACTGCCTATGTTATAAATCACTTTTTCTTGATTTTCATTGCTACAGCATCTGCGGTTGTAGGCTCAAAGTCCTTTTTTGTATGTGAATATCTTTGACACCAGCTTAGAGCTCACCTGTAGCAAAAGTCCCTACCTGTGTAGATACTAAGAAAAAGAGACCACAGATCAGCATAGGATTTCAAAGGTATTTTCCTGGCCACTGAGGCTTTTTATTTAAATGACTTCAATGTCAAATTTGGCAATCTCCCTAATTTTTCCTATTGTAAATCCACATTTTTCCCTCCTGCTTGGTTTTCTGCTGATCTTTTTTCAGGCCAAATAGTCTGTTGGAGCACAGAATACAACATAAAAGGAGTATCATCAGTAATCTAAAATGTCAGACTTTTACCAGGCTTTATTATCAGTTAACGATATAATGCAATGAAATCCCGGTTTGCTGAGCCATGCATAATAACTAAAGCATACTGTCCCATTTATATTTTCCTCTCCACCCTTTCTAAGTTTCTCTCTGCAAACAGAATAAAACATGGTATAGAAAGATGTGGTTGGGAATCCTCACATTCTTTGAACTAGTATCACTCCACTCCAGCACTTCTTTATACATTGCACTCCTTCCAGTAAACCACAGAGCTAATTTACCCATCTTCCAATACCCAATTATTAGCGCATTATCGTGTTTGTAGTTGTTATTTCTTGCAGTGCTATTATGTGATAAACAAATGCTGGGTACTTAGAAGTGTGGTCCTGCTCCAAGAAATTTGTAAGGAGATACATACAGCCATTTTTTGTCACCTCCAGCTTATTCAGAAAGCACCATATTGCCTACTAGTTTTAAACTAAAAAATAAGTATAAAAAAAAAAATCCTAAATATCCCAAATGTCTTTGCCAAGCACTGTAAATCTTGTGAATCCACAGTTGGTCTCATCTCTTCTTTTGACTTCATGTTGCTGTGAGGTGCTTTGTTCTTGTTTGTACTTTGTGATCTTTTAAATATTTTTATGTGTTTATTTTGTGTGACATCCTTTTCAAGTGTGTGTTACAAATGTCCAAATAGAGCAGGCTATGTCCGAATAGAATAGAATAGGCTATTCCATAACCATACAGTTGAATTGACACAAAAAGATGAGAAGTCTGCCAAGCAAACTGAACTTCCAGGATGCTAGTCTCAAAATCAGGACGAGACGTGAGGAAAAAGCTCCAGCAGTCAGGAGGACAATAGATGTAGAGCATTTGAGGATTTAATCCATCTTTCTTCTCTCATGATACATCTTCTTCAAGCTATTGCAGCAGTTCAGCAGCCCTGGGCATTCTACCTACTGTATCGCCTTTCTTTAAAACAGCTCTCAAGTTCAGAAGGGTGCAGTTCATCGGCTTTTTGACCTGTTATCGTAACATTTTCAAATTAGTTTCTGACATATGCACATTTTTAGATCCATTTTTTCTGTTTCAGGGCTCTACTGTGGCTCGAGAAGCCAGTGACAAAGAAAAGGTATGGTGCATTTCTGTTTCTTTTTCAGTTATCTAACCTGCTAGCTAGTCTCAGGACAAACAATAACCAGTGCTGTTCTGCCCCTTTATTTTCTGTCATATTCTCCCCTCTTGAGTTGTACCTTACTCCCTCCTTTATCTTTCCTCTTATTTTCTGCAGACCTTTGAATATTGGTTTGCAGTGGTGTTAAGATTTCAGAGGTAAGTGAGCCAGTCCTCTGCCTCCTCCTTTTCCTTTTTTCTCTTCTCTTCTTAGTTTCTTCAGGGCCTGCCCTGTGGTAGGAAAACATCAGGACTTTCTTCTCTTCTCTCCTGCTTCTTCATCTTCTTTCTCTTGCTCTTTAATATTGAGATTTATGGATACTCCATGTCAGTTAATGGAATGATGTGACGTGGCACCACTTCTAATGTGAATGCAAAGATGAACCAAACCTTGAATTGTGAGAACCTTTGGATATGTAAAGATCATACAAACAAGCAAACAGCTGACAGACTTAGAGGTACATGTAGCTATGATGAGAGGCAGTCTCCCTCAAATTCTGGGCTGAAACTTTGCTCTAAAAGGAAATTGATCACTTTGTTTTTCTCCATCTCCAGCTTCAGTTCATTTTGAAAATTTAATGTTCTCAAAATCAACATTTCTCTGAGGTTTCAGTGAAATAGCCTGATGGCACTTTAGGAAAGGTTTGTCTAGAGATTCTACAGATAATCGAAGGTGGAACATAGTCTCCATCACCTAAGACTTTAGATTTTCAAATTTGAGTGTAGTCTAGGAACCCACAACACTTGTTTTCTTAATTTTTCCAAGCACATTCCTTTTGAATTAGCGTACGATCATTCAGCAATTCACTTAAAATTCTTCATTTTATGTTGTCCTCAAATTCCATTCAGATCATTTGTTTTTCTCCTAAGCATTAGTTGTACCATACCTGCCTCTCTGAGTCTTCTACAGATTACACAACTGCACTAAGGAGTAGGGGACATGCAGTAGCTGTCAGTCCTACAGTTCTTGCTGCATGAAAAACTCTGTGTGAAGTTTTTCCACTTCATCCTAAGGTATGACCAAACACTTAAAATTCTTCTTCCAGTGTTAGGCAACTACCATGTCCCAGATGCCAGCTGCAGTTAAAATGGTCGGCATTAGCTCTCTTTTGCTATACCAGGCCCTCGAGATCATGTCTTGAATGGTCTTTGTTCTTTTCTTGTGGTCTATTTTTGTTCTTGTTTAGTAGCACAACTCTAGTGTTTTTAAAGCAGAGGGATTAACCCTTCAGTGTCTTACAAATGATATCTGGTGTCATTGAAAACCTCTACTGGTACTACTAAAATAATCTGATAGAAATGAGGAGGGCAAATTATTTGGATGGAACTACTTCAGGTTGCAACATTAATGCTGGGAATAGTAATGTAAAATTTAACAATATTACTTATATTCAGCTATACAGATGCTGATACTATACAGATATTTAGTGAAGTGGTTTTGAGCAGTTTTAGGAATATGTCTCATAATGATAAATAGATTAATAATAGTACACATGTACCATAGTTAATATGTTGAGTGAGAACCTCAAAGAAGCAGTGCCTTAATTTTGTTCCCATGTAAGTTCATGGCAAAATTACTATTGAACTTGATTATAGCTGAGTTGAAACAAAGTTGTGTAGATTTGTATAACTATATGCAACAGTTATTCTCTAAATTTAATTTGAAATCATAACTTCAGTAAGGCCAATGACAAATGACAAAAATTCTTATCAACTTCAACGCATCTAGAACCATCTTTTTCATTTTGAGTACGTCTATGAAAGAAATGTTAAAAAACCTCGTCCCTCAAATTCTTCTTTTGGTATTTTAAATCTCACACATTATTTTCTTTTCAAAGGAATTTGATTTCTTGGAGACAGAACTACACTAAGCTTATTGATATTGCAAGCAGACAGTCTGAGGCTCTTAGGACAGCCTTCTGCTACTCATTGTTCCACTCAAACGCCAATGCAGTGCAGCAGGGAAGTCACAAGCTAGCACTCAACAAACATTTCTAAGAAAGGGAATTAATTGTGTAGACTTCTGCGTTCATAGAGGGAACATTTCACAAACACTTTAAGAAAGACTCTTAAGGATTCAAGCAAAGAAAAAATAATATTTTGCTTATTACATGGTTTTTGCTTCATTTTTGGAGTCTGCTGTTTGATTTGAAAGGGTCAGAAGAATACCCTACCACGTGTCTGTATCATAGACCTTCAGAAAATTCATTGTCACTGTCATCTGAATCTCATGCAATAGGCACTAGAACTGCAGTGGTTTACTCATCTAAACTACTCACGTGTTTCTAATGCTCAGTTTCTAAGCTTAAATAAAAAGTGGATTGTGTATTTATACAAATAGGCAAGGAAAGTTTGGTTTTGAAAGTCTAAGCAGTGCTAAAGACCTGCTGTCATGAGATGTATCTCTGCACTTGTGGCAGTAATTTCAGGATCTTGAAGACTGGATTGACATAAGTATGTAAGTGGCCCGGTATTCCTAACTGGCAAGTGTTTTTCACTTCTATTTTCTCTTAAATAGAAGCCACTATTTCACACTTCTTGTTTGTTGTTTTCTGTGGGAATCTCACACCAAGCTTAAAGATGTTAAAAGACCTGGAAAATTTTGGCTCAAAAAGGGAAAATAAAAAAAAGGGTTTGAGCTAATGCTCTGAAGAGATCTTGACATCTCCTATGCTAGAAGAAATAGATCTGAATGATTAAACAAAACTAGACAATCTCAAATACTTAGCTGGTGTAGTAACGTATTAGCTAATTTTTAGCCAGAGGCAAGTGAAATCATCAGTTTATTAATATCACCCTGAAATGACATTAATAATAACAGAATTTCAATTAATAGCAGCATTATTTAATTACTTAGTATAAAGGTATCCACTGCTATTCACATCTGAAAAACAGAAAAGTAATAAGAGACAAGAAGCTTTTGGTGCTAAAACGTATGACTAAAATGTCTGGCAATGCTGTAGTTTTTTAATGGGCTTTTAAGTAATTCATATTTAATTTCACATACCAATATTCAAGTAATCAAATGGTTTTCAGAATATCGAGCATAATGTGTTACCTTCTTTTAAAGCTGCAGAAGCGAGAAAACAGAAGAGTAAGTCTTTCAGTGACATTCTAATGCAGACTGCAAATTTTAGATAAATTACTTTGTAATGGCAAACTTGGCTAAAATTGTGATGTTCTTGAATCTTTTTCCTATCAAATTACTCTGTTATTTAACTCAGTTAATAAAGAAAAGGAAATTATGCAGCAAGATTTAATAGACTATAAAATAGGAAATCAGAAAAAAAGTATTTATCTACTTTAGTTTTGTAGTGTAAAATAGGTATTAATATTCAAACTTTTTTTTTTAAATCAGTTTTTAGGAAGAGAAGCTGGCTGGAATGACTTTGAGAATGTTACTTTTCTCTCCTGTTTTCACTTTCTCTCCTGTTTGACTGTCTTCAACTGTTTAATATCGTAATATGTTGATGAGAAGCTCTGAAACTGTCATTTCAATATTTTGTGATAATCAGCTCTATCCCTTATATTTCACCTCAACACACAATTCCTCTCATTTGCATTATAAGTGATATTTTTAATAATAAAGGCATCACTTTCTTGGCAACAAATATCATAACATGCACTTACAGATGTCTTGAATTTTAAAAGAACAGTATGTTTCAACAGTTGTCAAATTCTGACAGCTACTTCTTTATTTTTTTTTAAGGCTTTAGTTCTCTTCTTTTTTTTTTTTTTTTTGCTTTTATTATTTTAATAGTGGGCATTTTCTATTCATTCCTTGGACAATTTTGCCCTCTTAAGTGAAACCAGGATAATGCAGAACTCCCCTCATGGTCTGTCTGCTCACTGCCTGCTATGCTTGCAGTACAACATCAAATTAGCAGTAACAGCTGAGTCTGCTTGTACTTACGAAGAACTTAAGCATGTTGCTTGTGAGCGGGCAACTCGGAAGGCAATTTGAAAAGGAGAAGTAAAACCTAACTGAACTGAAGTCCACCATGTTTCATCTTTCTTGAGCAATTTCATAGATTGTTATGGGTTTTAATTAGTCTAAAACTAGTTGCATTGCCACCTCTGTGGTATGTGTTGTTTCATAAATAAGCATAAATGCAGAAAAATTACAGTAAACACATTCAAAGAAAGGATTTTCTATTCGAGTTCCTTTTTGGAAAAAAGTTGCCATAGTTGATAGCTATGTAACATCTTAGTTAAATTGTATACAAAATACATAGCTCTGATAATTAGATCAGAAGATGCTGCTAGCTGTAGCAAATAACTTCTTAGCCTTACTTTTTATGTTATATATTACAACATACAGTAATTAACTGATTTCTGAGAGGACTATTATAATTAAAGGAAGAAGCATTTCGGTACAGGAGCATAGCAACAAGATTACTCAGTCTTTGATTACTTTTTAATTTTGATGTCAATAGCTGAAACTTCACTCAAGGTAGATCACCCAAAATCTAAGCTGTATTTTCCTGCTATTTTAAAATGGCTAATTTCAGAACAATGTTTTTTACTTACTTCTTTTAGTGATTTCAATCAGCTTCATATGCTAGCCTCACACAACAGACATGTCAAGAATGTCTTAGACTTCTCTGTGAAATGAGTCTCGAGGTTGCATATACAGAGATCATAACTTTCAAAATATCACGCTGCAATACATCGCAAATACAGGATTAGGCATTCAGAGGTCAGATTCCTATTTCCGTATTTAGCCTTCACATGACACCAACCCCATTATGTTTTTAAAAAAAAATCACTAGTTTGCCTTTGTTTGGGTTTTTTTTTCGTTGTTTAAAAGTTTGTTTTCCATATGTTAAAAGAATTTAAAAAAATAAAAGGGGAACTTTGTGTTGCATTTTATATGTTGCTTGTTCATTTTGCAGCAGGAAGACATTAACCATAGGGATAACTCTGGATGCATTTCCCTGAGCATTGAAAAGACATAGTTATTATTTTGGTACATGCTCGAATTCCTAATCCATCTACAACATCTTGCACCATTTTTTTTGTCCTACAAAAATGCCTGCTATACTTGTTAAAACCATTCCAGTGTTCCCTCTCAAACCCGATTTTGGGGTTACAGCTCTATTTCCATTGCCATTTGCAGTCCTGTGGTGCCAAATGAGCTGCAGACTCTTGTTTGGTTAGAAATCCCTGTCTAGGACAAGGCAAATTGTACAACAAAAGTTTGGACCCAGCTCCTGTAAATACTGGAGGGCAGAAGCTGCCATCTTCAGCCTTCCAAAGAAAGCTCTAGTTACTTTTCCATCTAGTGACTCCAGACTTTTGATTGAGTTCAAAACCATCTGTGCCAAATTATTGCAAACTCTTATTTAGCAGTATATTCTTTTTAAAAAAATACTGCCTTCCATATACGCTGGTGAGCCCAGTCAGTCTAAAGTTAATCTAACTTATTAACTTATTTCTTTTTTTTTTTAAAAAAAAAGGTGTATGTGAACGATTCACTGTGAAAAGAAGCCTAGGGTGTAGAACTTCACTGTTGGCAGATGTTTTATACCATTTTCAGAAGTTACAAGCTGTAAGCCAAATTTTGCCATGCTTAGCTATGTGAATAACATGAGTCGTGGCTAGTTCCAGACAAACGATGTGTTTCTCCTACAGCCTAATCTTTGCCTTTGTTAGGTGAGAAGTTGCTGCCAGATTGTGAAGATTAGTCTTTTTCCTTTTTCAGGTCAAGACTTACTCTGAATTTTAACTGTCTTACAGCTGTTCTAGCAAGCTTCTTCCAAAATGTTGGGATTAATGTCAGCCATGATCATAATTTTTGGTCATGATGCACAAAATTCTCTTTGGAGGGAAAAAAAAAAGCACTAATATTCATTTCAACACATTAGGATAGAATGCTCAACTGAGATGTGTTAAGAAATCTACTAAAACTATTTCCATGTTCATGTGGAAATAAAATTTCACCTGGTTCTTACCTTGCGATTATTTTTTTCCAGAAACAATGTCAATGGACTGTTTCACCATAATTTTAGTTTTCGAATCAGACTTTACACACATTCTGTCATCTTAGTCAAAGAAATCTTTATTGCTTTTCATTCTTTTCAAAGGCAGTGTGATTATGGCAAACTTTGGAATGCAAACCTGAAGTGTGCAAATAACATGCTTTTTTAATATATAAATACTTCATCTTTGTAAAATCTATCATGACTTTCTTGCATCTTTAAATAGGGGATTTAAAATTATGGAGATGATTCAGAAAGAAAATCTATTATTAATTTAGTGGAAGTAGTTAGATGTTCATCTCCTGTGCAGCTCTTAAAATATTTAGTTCTTTAATGATAGTACTGTGTTCATTATAATGAATTACATTCTAGGAGAATCTTTTTCCAACAAGGATTTGCTTCATTGGAAATATTTGAGACTTCATTAAAAATTAACTGTATCAATTATTTCATTAAAGCAAAGTCCCAATTTTTTCATTCAGATAGTGGTTTTAAATTGCCACAATGTGGTTTTCTTTGTATTTATTTATTTCAGTGAGTAAGAAGAAAATGTGCATATTAGAATTTTTCAACATGAACACATTTATTATTAATTTTAAATAACTACGAGAGCCCCTCCTAGTCACATTTCATAGGTTTTAATTCCTAAATTCGCAAATCAATTTTAAGATATGAATTTCAGTTAAAGTACCACTAGAGTTGCTACTAGTGTTGGCTCTCATTAGTAATATTTGGGCCTGCAACAGTAGCCGAGGGCTATTCAGCTTTAAATAAATAGGGACAATGATACTGCCTAGCACACCAAAAAAAACCCTTTGTCTAGTAACACCTAGAAAGAGGGAGAAGAATAGACTGGAAGGCATCATACAAATAACGTGGTGAGGGCAACCACTGGCACGTAGCTTTTTAGCTTCAGTTTCTTATATGGGACCCACTGCTTTTGCTTCTTCTTTTTCTCCACATGCTTCAATATTGGCTTTTAATTCATGCAGTTCTATATTTGCCAGGTCTTCACAGCTACAGGCATTTGGGTGAAGAAAAATGACCTCAGATAAAAAAAACTTAGAGGGGTTATTGAGGACTGGGGGAGCCTGCACATGAGGCAGTGAAGAGTCTGGCTTTTTGGGAGAGCTGATTCACTGCCCTCAATGTCCTTGGGACCGCTCCGGTCTTGTGATGACAAGCAAGAAATGCGGCTGCATCGGCTTTGCTAGCTCACTTTTATTAAAAATAGATTAGAGACAAGGTTAAAGTGGAGTCTGGCACCTGCGTGACTAGCTTATCAGCTCTAGCATCTTCCAAAAAAGACATTGCTTGTAATTTAAGTTTATTTTTACTGAAGATAGGACTGTCTTCAGTGGAGAAGCATGCTTCCCCCTCCCGCTGCCGCCAGGTCTGGCTGGCCGATGCCGTGCTGTGCAGGAAGGCTGTGGCAGAGCCTAAAGATGAACCTGCCTCTCAGCATCTTAACCACAAGCACATCCTTCCTCTTTACTCACTCCCCAGCTTTAAACAGCATTAATAAGGTGGTTTTTTTCAGTGTTAACGTTTCACTTTAACCTCTGCCTAGTTTAATAAATAACTCGGATATACTAGGTGGAAAGATAATCTGAGGAATTTTTTTTTAGGGACTTCAGGCTAGAAGTGAAGGGAGCTTGGTTTCCTGCATTCTTTTCATTGTTGTTTCATCTTAAATTAATTAACCAAAATCTCCTCTCCATTCTTAAGCATCCCACACACTGGATTCCATCCTCCAGTGTTGGCCAACATCCCTGGATCTGCAGTCCCGCCTCTGCAGAATTAGCCCTCATCCATGGGACAGTTTGCTCGACTGTGTATGATAATCTCTACAGCTGTTAGTCTAGAATGTTTATCTGATGTTTCCCCTACTCATTTTCATCCTAAGCCACTTACTGAGTAGGCTGGAATGAAAATCAGTGCACACTGCTCTGTCACATTGTAGTAAACAATTTGTTGTGAGCCTCAAGAAGTGTCTATCGTCATCTTTAAGTCAAGCAGTAGAGCGCTGCAGGGTGACTCCTCCATGGAAGGAGTCTGAGACGGATGAATGGTTACATCTCCATTTCAGCTGCTTGGGATTTTTTTCCTTTTATTTTAGATTAAAACAGAGGCTCTCTATTAGAGGGCATTGTAATGTATCAGAATGTTCTAGACACGACACAGTAATAACTCAGAGCAGCCAGACTAAGACCTTATTTTTTTCTAGAGTTCATAGGTGTCAGGATTTAACATGGATTCATAACTATTAAAACATTACTAATTGCTTAAGTGTTTTTGAGATGTTATTGGAAGAGAAGGGTCGCTTTTCTAGACAAAAGCAGCATTGTGGGATCTTGGACAATTCACAAATTCCAGGTCCAAAAAATAAATTTGGACACTTGAGGAGCTGAGTATTTTGGCCACTTCTGTGCACAGCCCAACAGCAAGAAGAACTCTTGGCCGTTGTGACGATCCATAAGGGCATTTCAGGGTCTGCTGTGATGCTCACATTTTAATGCTGTGCTTTCCAATACGTACATTTTAATGCTGTGCTTTCCAGTATGTACATTTTGGAGCAGTGAAAAGAACCTCTGAGATTCTTTTCCTTACTGTGTTGGAGGAAGAAAATAGTCTTTATGAAAAATACTGTCTTCAGTAAGGTTATGAGCAATGTCTCACTAGTTAAAATTATGAAGGACATTCCAGTAGGCTGATGTTAGCTGTCTTTTATTCCTAGCAGAAGGACTTTGGGATTAAGGGGAAAGGATCTTATTCAAAGTACCCATTAGTTCATGGTCACTGAGGGTTGCAGCACTCGGTTGTTGGGTTGTTCTGCAACATATTCTTTGTCAAGAAAACCTGTTCTTCCCTACTATTGATTCAAGGTGAGGGACAGGGAGAAAGGCTCTTTATTGCTCTTAATGGGCTGGTTTTTTAAAGGCTCTGATTGCAGAAGCTGCTATTACTTCTAGTTTGCTTGACCAAATACCCTGAAGGAAGTGCTTTTTTATTTGTTGACTTGCTGGGTTTTTTTACGTAAACATCCAGTCACTGCTCTTTGAAAACAGAGCCTGTTTGAGGGGTCTTGGCACCGAATCCTGTGGTTACTCTGGCTTTCCTTAGTGCTGTTGCAAGTCACTTCATGAGAGAGTTAAAGATGAAGGTAATGAACTAATGCTCCAACATCAACAATATTTAATTACATATTTAAAAGGCAGTAGTCTTCTCTGGTATTTGCCACTTCTAAGCAGCATTTCATAATTCATGTTCACTTGATGCTTTCAAATAATTATTTGGTATTAGGCACTTACAGACATTCACAGTAGCTATGGAAAATGCAATCCAGTCTGACTTCATCTATAAGATCTGATGCAAGCACTTTGTTATGAGGTTTAGGTTGTGTTTCGACTTCACTTATTGCCAATCACTTTGACAAATGACATCTTGGAAGAAGCTTGATGCAAATGAAGGTTCGATGCAACTCTAGTATTGCGTTGAATATTTTATCTTAGCTACATTTGCTGCACGCCCAGTAAATGTATACCTTCTAGGCCATTTACAGGAGGGATAAACTAAGCCCATGGCTCTCTGGGTGCAGTCACGGAGAGCTGCCTGTGACAGAGGTGGCTCTGCTTTCCCTGGAGCAGTGGCTCGGTGGTGCCTTCTGAGGCACAGGGGAGTTCCGGAGGTGCCGCTGCCGGTGGGGGGGCCATGCCAGGCCAGTAGCTTCACCACACTCCTCTTTGCGATCCCACTCTTCTTACAGGAGTTTTGGTTTATTTTAGGCCAAAGAGCTGCCGACGTTCAAAGACAATGATTTTATTAACGATGGCCAAAAGATTCACATTGATGAGAATAACAAAAAGATGTTCCTTGAGAAACTCAAAAAGGATGTTGAGGTAAGAAGGTACCTGTTCAGTTATACGTGATTAAAACGTGTGGCAAATCACAGATAGCCCAGAAAATCATACCTGTAATTCATTAATGAAAACTCTTGTTTTAAGGCTGTTTTAAATGAAACACAATTTAAACTTTCAGGAGTTGATCACTGCTTTTGCTGATGTGATAAATGATTTGCTGCCATAGCTGGTTTCCATGCATTGTCCCTGCCTTGATGATGTGATGTTAAAACGATGGTACTAGTTAGTACTTAAGTGCTGTACAAGTCTAGTACTTCCAAATGCCCCCGAGAGAGAGGTGAGTATTGTCAGTTGTGTTTTACAGGTGGAGGTGCACCAGAGCTGAGGCCAGACACAGACTGTAGTCCGTAACAGAGGATGTATCATTCCCACTCGCAGCCATGCATGTTCTGTTTGTTTCATATTAGTAATCCAGTTTTAAATCATCCGTAGTATCACAACAGTAGAGTGCTTCAGTATTTGTATACAGCAGTTGGACTCGTTATCTTAATGTAGTCTTCACATATAAATCCATAATTGGCTGAATATAGTCACTATTGAACAGAAAAGTGTTAATACGTGAATTTAATGTAATATTTTATTATAACTGATTTAGTTCAGAAAAATAAAAGAAATATTGTGCTAACTAGTTCACACAGCTTGACTTTAGTTTCCATAATTGAAAATATGGTCACTAAACACAATATTTTGCAATCCCTATACTCAGAGCCTAAAATCTGTTTTCCTTGTTGGAGGCGACCTGATAGCAAAATGTGTCTGTGACTTAATGAGACTTTCAACTATTTGTATCAAAATGGCTTTGTGAATTGTCTAGTTTTTAAGATCTATGTCTCAGTGGTTGCACAAAACAAAATACTGTAACTTTAGAATTCACCCAATAGTTTGCTTTTGAGGAAACCTATTTCCTATCAATTTGAGGTGAGAAATTTATGGTGATTATAATTATGAAGGCAAATATTTTGTGAAGTATCAATGTGTGTTTATCTTATATTTAAAATATTGAGCTGGAAAACTGCTCTACCAATGTCACAGCTCTAGAGATAAGTTTATTTGGGTTTTTAAGTTTTGTGCTCTTTTAACATGTACTGCTGTTGCTGACTAACGCTTTTATAGACATGATCTTAAGTATGTGCAATGAACATGGAAGATACTTTTTTACCTCAAAAAGTGGATTGTGTGTGATCTTCTACATCATTTACTGGATTGTAAATATAATGGCAGATTCCAGATCATGTCTTTAGAGGCTATTTTTTTGTGGTTTTGAAATTTATACAGAATATTGTTAAATATCCATGTAAACCACTAGTGTGAAGTGATCTGGCACCTGATTTTGACAATGGCAAGCTGTTCTTTAACCTTGTTTTTCTTTTATTGGTTCTTGTGCCCTTGTTAGATAACTGATAGTGTGCAGTTTGTACCCCATGTGGAAACACTCGGATTTCACTACAATGAAGAGAAATGCACAGCACTTGATATATTCTTATGTTATCACACAATATTTATAGTTAAACATATTACGCAGTGGTATTTTAAACTGTGTGACTTTATATCCATTCTTGTTTGTTATTAATTAGCTTGTGTTAACTATATTTCTCTCATAATCGAGTCTTATGTTCCCTTCCTGTGTTCAAACAGACAAATATCTATTACTGCTGTTTTGATGTCCTCGTGTCCATTTTCCTGCCTCCTCATTATATTGAAAATGTCCTGAGAAAAAGCCCATAACGATAATTTTTCCATTTTAAATCAGATGATCTTTTCCTTATGCTAAGGAAAAGACTCCCTAAGTCTTTTTGTTGTCAGCAGAGTACACTTTTTTCCCAAGAGCTGTTTTCTTCTAATTTGCAGTTCACCCTTTTTTCCAAGAGTCTGTTCGCTTTCGTGCTTTTTTGTATGATTATTGGTAGATTTTTCTACTGTTTCTCTTGGTATTTATCAAGTATCTAATGATATGCCTGGAGTCTTTCCACTCCATCGCCTTTGGCCAATCTCATCTGTTCTTCCTGTATATGGTTGTACATCATCTCTTCAAACTTAAATCTCTTCTAGTCTTGTGAAGAGTCTTTTGCTTTGTTATATTGAAATTATTAGAAACCTCTTCTCAATCTGACAATATTTCTACTAGCACTTGAATTTACAGTCACTTTGTTATCTCTGATTCCCCTCTTTTCTCAGAATCAGGATTTTGACAAACTGTAGATTCTCGTTTCCTAGTATTTTATACTCATCTCTCATTACTGTCACTATTCCAAAGTCTGGCTTAAATTCCTGCTTCTCTGGTCTGCCCTAACTTCCTTTTTATAACCATTTAGAGTTTCTGAAAACTGAAACAATTTGTATTTTCAGCCTCTTTCTCTGCATACCACAAGCAAAGGCTCCACAAGTTCGAAATCACAGTGTTGCTTTTAGGATGCAGCACAGCTCTGCCCTGCCTGCCCTTCACCCTCTTGAACTGTTCATCCCATCTTCCTGCTTTTACACCTTCCTTATTCCCATCCTCCTCTCTTAGCTTTCTGCCTTATCCTGTTCCCCTCAACTAAAACAATACTTCATCTATACATAAAGGGTATTAATCTTTCAATTTTCAAAAGCACCCTTTCATTCACATCCATGTTTTCCTTACGTGGTTTAAATTGTGAGCCTGTCACTGTGAAGAGAATATAGCATCATTTCGTGTCTTCATGGTGTAAAATTTCACTACTTTCCAATGCAAGAATATTTAAACGCTTCTTCACAATTCTGTAATAAGGCTTAAAAGGGAGTGAGGGGCTGATTTAGCCCCAGGTCGTGGCACACCACACATCTGACAGCACAGAGGCTGGTCTGGATGCTGAGCAGTGACAGGATAGCCCTGATTGAAACATGAGACAGGAGTGACAGTCATTGGCTCGCACAGGCACTGGTCTTCACTACAGGAAAAATGATTTTTCCCTGAGGATTTTGGAAAATTGGGCTACAGCTCTTTTATAATATAAGTTGCAAGTGACCTGGTAGCTGTACTAAGGCACATAAAAAATAACCAAGTGGTTGGTGACAGCCAACATGGCTTCACTAGGGTCAAGTCATGCCTGACTAATTTAGTGGCCTTCTACGACAAAGCTACAGCACTGGTTGACATGGGTAAAGCAACAGATGTCATTTTCCTGGACTTGTGCAAGGCGTTTGACACTGTCCCACATGACATCCTTGTCTCTAAAATGGAGAGACACGGATTTGACAGATGGACCACTTGGTAGATAAAGAACTGGCTGGATGGTCGCACTCAAAGAGTTGTGGTCAATGGCGCAATGTCTACATGGAGACCAGTGTCAAGCAGTGTCCCTCAGGGGTCTGTTCTGGGTCCAGTGCTGTTCAACATCTTTGTCAGCGACATGGATGACGGCATCGAGTGCACCCTCAGTAAGTCTGCTGACGACACCAAGCTGTGTGGTGCCGTGGACTCACTTGAGGGAAGAGATGCCGTACAGAGGGACCTTAATAGGCTTGAGAAATGGG